GAAGAGGGTATGGAAGGTGGTAGGGAAAAGAATGAGGGCAGAAAAGTGCTCAGAGTGAAGGGACCACTTCTCACTGTCAGGGCTGCAGTGTGGCTGAATTTGTTACCCGCACCTGATGGTTCCCCTGAAAGCTCCTGTATGAGAGACTCCCTAGCTGACAGCACCTGCAGAAGACTGAGCTGAGACATTAAAACGTGCTTTTAAAACAGAGGTAAAAGTATGACAGGAAAAATTATAAGACGTGGAAGACACACTTTGAAATCTCAGAATTAGTTTCAGACTAATAGGAGAGCAATGTGGACGCTGCATAGAAAGAAATAACTAGGGAACTAGGGGGCTGGGGATTTAGCCTAGCGGCATAAGCACCTGCCTTGCAAGCAGGTGGTCGTGAGTTCGATCCCTGGTACCGATAGAAAGGAAAAAGACAGAAAATAAAATAACTAAAGACATTTTCTCAAGACTAAGACAAATGCAGGACTCCAGACAGAAAGGGCTCCTGGGTCCCAGCCCTGCCCTATTGCAGCTGTGTAGCTTTGGACAAATTACTTAAATCTCTTCAGTCCTCGGTTTCTTTATCTGTGAAACAGAGTTTCCTCTCATAGCTATGGTTTCACTTTCTGAGGTTTTAACTACCATTAATCACATATAGTCTGAAAAATATTAAATGGAAAATTTTAGAGGTAAATAACCCACAAGTTTTAAATTGCACGCTGTTCTAAGGCATCTGATGAAATGCCTTATTACAGCATCCTGTTATAATTGTTCTATTTTATTATGAGTTACTGCTGTTAATCTCTTACTATGGCTAACATAAATTAAACATTATCACATGTCTACACATATTGGAAAAAACATAGCACATATGGAGTCTGGTGCTATCTGGAGTTTCAGGCATGCACTAGAGGTCTTGGAATTCATCCCCTGACCATACAGTAGACTATATACTATAGACTTTATACTGTGTATAAAGGCTCACTCCCAGTGGGGTGCGGAAGCTTAGTTGCACGAAAAATGTTGCTTTTACTTCTATTACAATATGACCCAGAGGAAGCAGTGACTACAAGAAGCTAAACTTTGGTTTGTTTCTGATAATGAGACTTGAACCCAGGGCCTTTGCCCTGAGATACTCCCTATACCCCATTTTTCTTTCTTTTTTTGAGCCAGCTGGCTCCTAGGTCTCTAAATTACCCCAGGCTAGGACAGGTGGTCCTCCTGCCTCAGCCTACTGGAGAACTGGGACTAAAGGAGTATTATGCAATGTCTGGCTTTCCTGAACTGTTACTGAAAGCAATAGACAGATTAAAGCAAGAGGGGAGAGCTGGCGATTTAGCTCAGCAGCATAAGCGTCTGCTGCCTGGCAAGCTCCAGGATGTGAATTCGATCCCCAGTACCAAACAAACAAAACAAACAAACAAAAAACTGAGAGGGGGAAATTTGGGCACAGTGGTGCCAGTTCAAGGCCCTCCTGGGCAGCTCAGTGAGATGTCTCTAAAAATTATCTTTAGCGGGCTGGAGATGTGAAGGCCTTGAGTAAAATCTGAAATAATACCAAAAAAAAAAAAAAAAAAAAAAAAAAAAGAAGGAAAAGGTTTTTAAAGACAATAGCTAGGAGATCAAAGACAAAGGCATTTTACTGCATTTTAGCATTTGGTTTGCTTTAATGTTATTGTACAAGTAATCATTTTGACATTTTATAATACTTGCTTAAATCTTAGTGCCTTAAATGAGTTTTAGTTGAAATGCTAATATTCATGTTTCTAAATCTGAGAATTATTAGAAAAAGTTCTAAAATGCTTGCTTGAATTTCACACAAAGGACATGTCATTATTAGGATAAAACTGTTGTTCATTAATTCTATATTTCAGTCCTTCAGATTACTTTTAATATATGTAATTACTAACCTATTATTATTAATTAAAAGCATACGAAAGAACCAATCTAGTTGTCTGTTCAATATGAGACAAAGTTATTCTAATGAGAAGATAAGATTTCATTCAAAAGTAAAAAAAAAAAGGTTTTCATATATTTTTATGAAGCTACGACAGACAACTAACAGCACTATTTTCATGAGCTTTTATGATAAATAACATGTTAATACAGGGTTACCTTCTGAGTCAGACATATATCCCCTAGAATCCTGATACTAAAAAAACAAACCTGTCAGTAATGTTTACACAGATGTGTATGTACACACATATACTGACGTCTATATGTTTCTACATACATTTTCAGATTTGACTCAGAAAGGTTGTCAAGACTCATTTGGAAAGGAAACTAGTTTTAAAGTCTTCTCTCTTGTAGCCAGAATTATGAGTTTACCATGGGCTCAGAATAGAGGTAGGGTACATTTTTTGCGCTATAAAATAACAAAAGCTAATTAAGGAGCTCTGGCTCCGCATCTTTGGGTAAGCTACCTAAACTCAGTTTTTCCTTTTAAAACAGGAGTAATGAAGGCACCTAACCTGTGGGATATTTTAGAGGATAAGAAAGTTAAAATACATAAAGGGTTAAGAAAAGTGCTACTGCTGTTATCCTTACTGTTTCGGTGGGTGTGCTCAATATGTTTTGACCTCCAAACCTTAAAGCCATGTGTCTTTTTAAATGATTCCAAACATGCTACAATTTGGTAAATTCATCATTGTATATTTCCAACTAAGCCAGCATCATGTAAACAGAGATAACAGATGCAGTATGTGAGGATTGAGTAACTTTTTGGTTACCACAGAGGATTTTAAAAACTTAGATGTTATAGAGCCAACAAATTTACATGGAGTTACTTGGGGTTAAAAAATGTCTGGTAAAGAGAAAGAATTTAGCATCTATAGTTCTGTCTTAAAATACACTTGCAACTAGCAAATTCACTTCCTGGGGCCTGAAAATAGCAAACTAATAAATGTCTTTTGCAGACCTCCTCACTTGGCAGAATGTACTCCATCTATCTGAACTGCAGTGCTTTTGGAGAATCAGAGGGCTGAAGAAATAACTTTGGTCAGGAAGAATATAAAGGTTTTAGCAGAGCAGATTACAAAGAAAGGACAGCCAGGAATGTAGCTCAGTGGCATAAATGCCTGCCTGGCAAGCACAAGGTCCTGAGTTTGATTCCCAGTACAAAAAAAAAAAAAAAAAAAAAAAAAAAAAAGGCAAATGTATGGCCTAGCCTGTCAAATGCGCCCTTCTCATTGGATCTGAGTGTGCTCAGCTTCAGGAGATAACCTGAAGCTGGCGGGTTAGCAGCTCTGTGGGCCGTGGACATTTCTGGACCATTATTCTTTCTAAAGCCTCCATTTCTTCTGCCCTCTTGGGTCAGTTCTTCAGCCAAAGTTCCTTTTGAGAATTTGATCCACTTCCCTTTTAGAGTTGCCACTTCCACCAGCTGCTTCTCTCATTACCTTATGCTTGGGGCGGAAAAGGCCAAACCCGGGTTATTCTAATGATAGAAAACACCTCATAAAGAAATCTGCCAAATTTACTTTTCCACAGAACATCTTTTTTTATGGTATATCATGAGCCCATGTGGAAATAAAGCATCGTGTATAAAATATGACTTCCAGAAATCTTGAAAATATTAAGAATCATTCCTGAAGCGTTCTGCTGGTGGGTACACCACCCTGTACAGGACAGGAAGTCCACTAGACTGTCACTGGACCTATCTACCTACAGGACAGGAGAAGAGCTCCTCAGGAAGTCCAGCTGCTTTTCGAAATGTCCCAATAGGAAAAGAACTTTAGGCTTTACAGTATATACTTTTTCACACCTGGTTTCCTATTTGTATGTAAGGACCCTGCTTGGTCTAATTTATAATGCCCAGCTAGACACAAAGTGTAACCAGTGGTTGGGAATGTGTGAGCTCTGGCAAGTTTCTTAATCTTTCTACCCTTTGTTTGTGGAAACCTTAAAGGGGAATATTAACAGCTCTGTACTTCAGAGGGTTCTGATAAAAATAAATGCATTAAGTTCCGGACAGCGCTTCAAACAGAGGCATAGAATAGGCAAGTGTCAGAGGAATGTTTCAGAGAATTCTTTCCTTCACAGTAGAGTCTCTTTTTCTGCAACAAGTTGCCTAGGGATGTAAAAAATCAGAATTAGCAGTCCCTTTGGGGACATAGAGAATGCTTATCTCAGTACCGTAGAATGCAAAGTTTCAGAGGCCACTAGTTTGAAGAAGGGATCTGGGGAACCTGAGAATCCCCACTGCTTCCTGGAAGATCTCTGCTCACCTCTATGAGTTCCCCAGCTACATCCCTGGGCCCCAGGAAAAGCGCTTTCCAAGATAGCGGCAGGAAAGCCCTACTGGTGCGACCTTTACCCAGTGCCAGCGCACATTGCCTTGGCTGCCTTGAAGCTGAACTAGATCAACAGCATTCTGTGCCAGAAGCGACCTTTAGGGAAACAAGACGCAGTGAGGTCTCAGCTAAAAGTTTAAAAGCCTCAGGCAACCCCGGCTCAGACCACTACAGATGCTTTGACGCTGCATCCTCACCGTGGCTAAGAGGGTAGCAGGAGGTGTGCAGGGAGGGACCCATAGGCACTGAACCCCGCGGGCGAGGTGGTCTTTCTGGCTAGTGTCCTCTGGAAATTATGTCCTGAACTTTGATACTATTTTGTGACATGCAGGCACGCAGTTCTTTCTCCAACTGTTGGCGCTTTGCAATGTCATTTTATAAGGTCTCCTTGGATCCCCGACTCAGTCCTCTTCATCTTATTCAGCTGCTAAAGAGCAGCCAAAGACTTGCTGCACCCGAGAACAAACACACACTCCGCACTGCCTCTGCGCGTCCCATGCCTCGCCACCAGCTACCCGACCTGTGACACATCTGGAACGCGCACTTGGGAACCTTAGAGCCAGGTCCAGGCTTCCCTCACAGATCCCCGACTCCGTCTCAACCTAAGTAGCGCTTCCCAGGCGGAACCCGGGCCCCAGCAGCAGCTCTGGGAGGGGCGAAGGAACCGCCTCCTCGCACGCACCCGCCCCCTGCACGCGCTTGCTCCCGCGCACTCACCTGCAGCTGGTCCTGGCTGGTGTTGCCCGGGGCCGCGTTAAGCTCGTCGGCGGCTCCGGAACTGCGCAGAACCGTGATGTGCAGCGTGAGCAGCAGCAGCCCCAAGATCAGCAGCAACTCGGCCGCCAGGCGCACCATCCTCTTGAGACGCACGGCTTTAGGACCCCGCTGCGCCGCGAGCGGCGGCGCAGGGGGAGGAGGAGTCGGAGCCCTGGAGCCCGGCGGCACTGTCCCCGCCTCGGCCCCCGCCGGGGCTCCGCTCCCCGGGCCCTCAGGGCTGGCGCAGGGCGCGGCGGGGCGCGCGGGCCCGGGGAAGCAGGAGCCGCCGGCCCCGCAACACAGCGGAGCCACCGCGGGGTCGGAGGCGTCCAAACTGGATGCGGAGCAAGCCCCGGCGCTGCCCGGCGAGGCGGACTCCGGAGGGCCCGGGACCCTGGCTTGGCCCGGGGCCACCCTGCGGGCAGGGGGCTGCGGGGGCGGCGGCGGGACGGGTGCAGCCGAGCCCCCGAGCGCACATGGGCGCCCCAGATGTGGTCGCGGAACCGCAGCTGGAGCGGGAGCGGCCGCCAGAGGAGCGAGGAAAGGAGGAGAAGCAGGAGGAGGAGGAGGGCTTCGGCGGCCGCCCGGAGTCACCTCCACGCTCGGCTCCCCCGCCCTCGCCGCCCGGAGCCACTCACCCGGCGCGCCACCTCCTGCGCGCCGCGCTTCTGCGGGCGGCCAGCCTCGCCGTCGCCCGTCACGCCTGGTCCTGGGTGGGCTGCCTCCAGCTGGGGGCCGCAGGTACACGGAGGCTGGCACTGTTTTGGGGTGGCTAGGGCGCCTGATCGTCTGTGCCACCTGAGCGCGGCAGAACTTGCTGAGGTCGCCAAGGGCAGAGCCCTCTTGGGCGCACAGAAGCTCGGGGGTCGGGTGAGTGGGGGGCGCCTAGGCGAGTTTAGAAATCTTTATTGGCAAAGTACACCTGGAGTTGTAGTGATGGAGAACAGAGCACACGTTGGGCAAGCTGGATGTCTGAGATTGTTCGCCCCTGCCCAAAGCAGGCGGGATTATAGGAGTGAAAAAGTGTCGCTCCAGAAGGGTCTTGATAATTGCTCTGGATCCCTAGGTTCAGCGGATTGCGCGTCCACCACGCCCAGTAGAGCCTGGGAAGGGAGGTGAGTCGGTGTGCCGATGCGCGGAGCGTGCGTCTAGCCAGGCGCGCAGGTGTCGCGGCCGCAAGCTGCAGGGCTCGGTGCCAGCAGCTCCGGCGCTCAGGATGTCGGTGGGGCACTAGCGGTGATTCTCAGCTCTGGAAGTCTCGAGTGTGGGGGGCTCATCCCGGGGGCGCCGCGCCAGGAGGGGACTTGGAGGCTGCCGTAACGCAGCCACTGCTCCTTGGCCGCTGCCTCATGACCGCGCTGCAGCCTCGGGCTCCCGCGCGCGACACATGCCTTGGCGGGGCAGCTGGCGAAGGAAGGGATCAGGATGGAGAGGAGGACGTGGGATCTTCTCTTCGGATGCTAGAGCGCACTAGGTCCGGCTGTGGCCGCAGGTCACCGGGGTGGCACCGAGCGTTCCTTAGCTCTTAGTCTTGCTCTGCTCCGGCCTTCCCGAAGTGGCTCGGAGTGGCGGGCGCTCCGCGAGGCTGGGGCCTTTTATAGTGCGTTCCCTCCGCCTCCCCGGGTTCCTCCTTCCTCCGCCCAGCTAGCCCAGCCCTTCCCTCCCCTGGAGCCCAGCCCTAGTCCTGGCGTTGGTTCGCACGTGTACATTTCAGAACTTCTCAAGTCTACCTCGCGAGCCCAGACCCCTCTGCCAGCAGGGTGGATCCTCAACATGAAATTAAAGACACAGAACTTCCTTACTGGCCGCTCCAGGCTTTTCTCTATTTACTTTATCCTGTCTTTGCATTTTAAAACTGGTGGGAGATTCTCAATTCACCTACTTTCCGGCTTCGTATCTTTACACAGGGCATCTCAGCCAAGGCTTACCGAAGTCACGACAAATTCTTTCGCCATTCCGAAAGTTCCTCGGGTCACTGTGGCATTGTGCAGAATTTAAATAGTTTGCAGTGTTTAAAGTGCGGTATGCTGGCTGGGTTTATTTGTATCCGGCAAAGGAAAGCCTAGCTGCCTCTTTAAAGATGCCTGAAGCATCTTTAAAATTCTAACCAGTCCAGCATCTCATTAACAAATTGGCAACTATTTCTAGAGTGTGCGGTATCTTTTCCCTTTCCACCCCTCCCCCTTCTTTTCCTCGCGCAGGGAGCCGGGAGACGTTTAGAGGCTATGCATGCTTTGGATTTTTAGGCGGCCTGAACTGTCTGGCATCTTATTTTGATCTCAGGGCTTTTAAAATGCCAATAATTGACAACTGGGGCGCTGAGGGGGAGAATTTGAAACAATACCCTGTCCTTGGTTCAGATGGAAGATCAAAGAGGAGATGCCAGCAGTTTTCAAATCCAGTAAGGATCCTCCTGTGTGTTTTCTAATTAAAATTTCTTAGAGGGGAGGGGGAGAGGAATCGGCACCGAGTGGAATATCTATAAATTAAAATAGCGAAGTAGAATCCCGTGGCCACAGGCAGTTTAACCCCTGTTGTGTCAGCTTGTGATGTGGACACTGGACGGCAAGACTCCTCCTGCCATTGGCAGGCTGGTCTAAATTAGAATTCAGGGGCCGCTGTGTCCTGTAGCCTTTTTTTTTTTTTTTTTTTCTTTCCCCACACACAGTTCCACAAGTCAGCCTCAATTGCCTTCCCTCCTATCTAAAAGTCACATTTCTTGAACCTAAGGCGAAATGACTTTTTAAAACACTTCAAGGAAACCCTTGCAATGAATGTAAATTCTTGTAAAAATTGCAAACGGAGATTTGGAGATCAAAGAGTTTGTAAAATGCTGTAAAAATTGTAAATTGAATTTTGGGGGCAGATGTCTTTATTAAATGTTGAACAAATATATGAGTGAATCCTATTAAAGTCCCTTCACGCTGGGCGATCCAAATTCCAGGTGAGTTTATGTTCTAGTAAGTGGACGTAAGTGGCACTGATAAACTCTCCTGCTCTGGGATTAAGGTTGCCAAACAGGATGACCAGCAGGGTTCTGCTGTTGAGGGCTGAGGGAACCCTGGCTTAAGCAGTTCTTGTGAAGACAGAATTAGCTACAAATTTAGTAGCTGAAAGTAACTGAATTTCAAACACTTTATGAAATGATGCAGGTAGTTGATGAAAGTTTTTTAAAAATCCCACCTCCTTCAGAATCCCCAGTAGCTCTGCATTCACACTTCTGTTATTGATTTTGCTGCACCCCTGTAGAACGTGCCTGCTTGTATGTCTTTCTTCCCAGCACACCTAGATCAGGGTGTCTTGGGGTAGAATATTTGGAACCATATTCTTCTTCCATGATCCATTTTTTCTCTTCTGACTTCATAGGTAAAGAACATTTCCCAGCCACATTTGCATCTGTGTGTGTTACATTTTAGATTTAAAATGTCCCCCAGAAGTTCAGAGATGGGTGAGGTGGGTACAGTGTTCTCATCCCTGGCTTCTCCCTTCTCTCTGCTTTTTGGCCTGAATGTAGTGAAGCATTTTACTCTGCAGTGCCTTTCTGCTGTACTGCTTCTGCCCTAGAGCCAGCCACTGATGGACTGAATCCATGGAAACCGTGAGCCAAAAAATAAAGCCTTCCCCTTTAAACGGGGGGGGGGGGCTCTCTTGAGTGTTATGTGCCATTGATAGGGAAGTTGACAATTACAATGTGGGACCCTGGGATTGTGCTACATTCAGGTCTGGCTTTAAGACTGCCTGAGTGATTAGCTATGAGCACCTGTCTTCCCTTTCCGCATACCTAAGTTACTGCTCGAAGGAGAGCTGTTGAACCTTGTGTATGTGGGGAAAAAAAAAAAACTTTTACCATTCAAAGACATTGTGGTTTGGACCATTTGCTCAGCAACTAGTTTTGCCTACCCCGAGAAGTACAATCTTGACAGGGATGTGTGCCACATTATCCTTACGTTTCCAGAGCTGAGTCCAATGCTTTGCACAAAGTAGTCGCTCACTTTTAAAAATACATGTAAGAAATCTGGTGCTTTAAACCCTATTTAATAAAGGAACTCTCCTTAGAGTCTTTTCTATGGGTGTCTGAGTCCAAAAATTGAATTTTACCTTTGCTATATAAGTTCCAGTTACATTTCATCCCAGTTTATTTGACTAGAATATTTGGAGAAAGTTAGAAAAGATAACCACAAATCAGAACACCTATAGTTATCATCACTGAAGAGACTCTAGTCTCCTTATGGTCCCTTTTGTCCTGGATTTTATTGTTTTTATTTTAAATGTTACTAAAGACTTGATTCCACATAGCAAATCTAAGAAGAACGTGTAACAAATCTTCACATACCCATAACCTAGCTCCTATAAAACTGATGGCCGATCATCTTCTATACTGTCATCCCTCTTATTTGTGCTTTTGCTTTCTGTGGTTTCAGATTTCGTGGACCAGCTGTAGCATGAAGATATTAAATAGAAAATTCCAGAAATAAACAACTGATAAATTTTAAATTGTCTGCCATTCTGAGTAGCATAATGAAATGTTTGACACCTCACTACATTCTGCTCAGAATGCAAATCATCTCTATGTCCAAAACTTCTTAATAGGCAACAAACCCAAGAGACCGGTGGGTATTATAGCTACCTGAAGAAGTCAAGAAACTAAATCCATTGAGACCACTTTCCACCCCATGTTTCCACAGGGTCTAATGGGAATCACATATAGTTGGTTGTTTGAAAGGGCTTATGACGATTCCTCCGTGGTACTTGTCCTTAGTCACTTAGTGGTCTTCATGATTATTAGGTCGACTGGCATGGTACTGCAGTGCTAGTGTTAAGTAACCCTTGCATAGTAGCCTACACTGTTGCAGTGCTTGCATCACTGACCTGCCTTCATCAGGTAGGCATTGTACTACCAAACATCATCACAAAAAGAAGGCTGAGTGTGGGGAGAAAGAGAGAGAGAGAGAGAGAGAATGAATTAATATGTTGTTATAATTGTTCTCTTCTTATTTACCTCTTACCATGCCTGATTTATAAATTACACTTTATCATAGGAATGTATGTATGAGAAAAACATCTGTTTTGGCTCTCCCTGCAGTTTCAGATACTCATTGTAGGGGAATAAAGGAGCAAGGCAAAGATACTGAATTCTTATGAATTTCCTCTTTATCAGATTATTTTGAAGTAAGACCCATAACATTGTAACATTTCATTTGTACACATTTAATGTGTACCTCAAAAAGCTTAGCCCTCAAGTTAAAAAATTTTAAATATATGCATGTTGTATATGGTCTTTAAAACTAATGTGGGAGGTGGAAACTTGAGACTTTCTAGTGCAGGAAGGATTAGCATTTAGGGATTGTGGTAGAGACTGTCGTGGGTTCACCCCCCACCAGTTTCTGCATCTTCCTGCACATCTCTGTTGACTGCGTTCTCTGGTATCATATACATTAGGTGCAGTCGTGTGACTGAGTTCAGCTCAGCAGAATGTAGGTGGAGGTCATGCAGACGCTCTTCTGGATCGAGTCCATATCCCGATTGAGCAACTGTGTGGTATCAAAATAAATTTGTATTTGATGTGTGAAGCCACTAAAATCTGGGGCTTCTTAAGGAAGCTTATATTAGAAGGCGCTGTTCTGAGAGACGATGACAGAGTTTTCCTTTTGGGGACTCACTAGTAAGTAGATTTTGTCTTTTTTGGCCATAAGCTTGCAGGTGCAACTGAGTTTTCAGCAGGAAGGCAGTCATGGAAAACAGGTGAATGAATGGTTGAGGGCGTATTTTAATAAAATGCAGAAATAAGCAGCTGGGCCACATGACTTAGTCTGACAATTTCTTCTCTCAGCCCTGTCCTAAGAGACGGGCGCACCTTACCACCCTGTCTTAGATGCCACA